GCGCGATGATGCCGATAGCGGATTACGAAGAACGTCTAAAAGTACAAGAAATGCAGAGATTGGAGCGGCCATGCTGTTCTATGCGCCGCCATGGCCCGCACCAGCATTGACGGCGGCGGTGATGTGGTCGCCGAGCGCCGTTGCCACGGTGAACGCCGTGACGAGCAGACTCTGTCCGATCACGTCCACGATAGACGAGACAAAGGGAAGGCAGTAGATGTCGGGGTCGTAGTCTCGGCTCCAGAGCACGAGACAGATGACATGGGCCAGAGACAGCGCGCACATATCGGCTACCACCGACGCCATCACAAACGCCAGCCCAAACGTCCATCCGAACGTCATCTGTCCCGACACTCGAACGGCAACGATGAAGGCGGTCTTGATGCTGACGTCCATGATGAGCAGGCTGATGGGCACCAGCCAGCCCTCGATGGGTGGGATGCTGAGCACGGCGCGCGCCGTGATCAGCGCACCTCTCAACCCGCCCATGTCGCCTGCCTTGGATGCGGCACGGAGCAGCGTCGCGCCCTTGCCCGAGTGGAGCGCCGTGGTGATGCGCGACGCAAAAATGGCTGCGCAGGCTCCTGGAAGCCCGATCATGACTGGTGTGAGCAGCGCAAAGCCCTCGTATCGACCGACAAAGTTATCGAGCACCAGGCCGGCGCCGGACGAGATGAACATGGCCATGATGAGCGGCACCCATCCCGACGTGAGCAGCTCGCGCACGTACGCGTTCCTGTACGTGACGATGAACGAGACGATGCACGCCAGGGCCATCGCGGCAAGAATAACCGTGGCGAGGAAGGTACCCTCAAAGTGGGCGAGCGCACTGGCGAGCAGTCCGAGCAACGCGAGCGTGGTCAGGTCGCCCAACGAAGCAGCGAGCGGAGATGCAATGTTGTCCGGGTTGGCGCCTGCACGGCGAGCCATGACGACGAGCGCACACATGAAGGAGCCGAGAGTCAGCGACGAGAGCGAAGCCGACAGCACGGCCGTGGCGATGACGAGGGCAAATTCAAAGTAGCCGTTGCGCAGCCGCAGTGCTGGGTCCTTTGGTGGCTGGTGGTGGTGAATGATGCGTCGACGTTGAAGCCAGCCGGCTCCCTTTGCTGGCACGTCCGACGACGCCGACAGGCCCCGCCTGCGGTTGCGCAACGTCACCGCCGAGAACGCACTTCTGACGATGGTGTGGATCAGCGCATTTTCGGGAGTCTGCGCTTGCGGTGTGGTGGGCATGGGCGCCACGGGTGCCTCGACCTGCGGCTCGGGGGTAACGACGCCAAGCACAAAAGCAAGCACGCCTGCGAACATGGAGACGATCATGGCCTGCACTTGAAGCAGCGCCATGTTTCCACGGATGAGCGTCTCGCGCGTGCGCCTGACGTCGAGCTCGCCGATGTTGGCCGAAGTGGACATGCGCAGCGAAAGGTTCATCTCGAGGTTGCCCTTCATGTTGAGCAGTATGGGGATGAGGATGAAGAGCTTGTCCACCTTGCGAAAGACGGGCCAGCGCGCGATGTGCACCAGCAGCTCGCCGGAGAACATGAGCGAGAGCAGACTGATGATGAGCGTGGGCAGCGCCTCGCGAGCGATCTCCCAGAAGCGAGAGAATGCGGATCGGGAGGAGCGACGCGAGGCGGTGCCGCGACGGTCTACGAAGCCGGCAGAGCCGAGCAGAGACGCCTGTGTTTCGTACTCGTCCGCGAGATCGTCCTCGAGCGCATGTCGATGCGGTACCGATGGATGCGAGGATTCGATGTCGTTGCGTATCGACGAAGTGCCGCGTTTGAGATCGGCGCCCGAGTAGCCCGAGCTGCCGGCTTGCAAGGTCTGAGCATCGTCATTGTCCTCGTCATTGTCGTCATCGTCATAGTCAGTGACTCGGATCTGTTGAGCATGTGTCGATTTGGAATCGGGGGCCTTGTCGCCCTGAAGTTCCGAGAGGCTGCCGACGTTGGTGCTGGCGTCGTCGTCGTCGCCTTGTTCTTCGGTATCGGACGAGATGGTGTGGTGGGGAGCTTGGGGCGAAGTGTCGTCGATGAGGTTGGAGGTGGCGCTGGGCCCAGTGGGCGTCTGGTTCAAGGCTGTAGCGGCGTCATGATTGCTGGAGCGAGAAGAAGCAGGATCGACCATGGATCCAGCGGAGAGAAGATGCAGCGCTGAGGAGTCGATGGAAGGAATGCAGGGTGGAAGAGGCTAGGATGTCGAGATGGTGGAGAAGGGGGACGGATGGTCCTCTTTGAACGATTGGGTGTGTGGATCCTGTGTTGAGGTCGTGTGACAGGGGCACACGAGGCTGAATGCTGAATGCTGTCGATGGGAAGGCAGAATGCAGCCGGCAGAAAACAGAGGCGGGCGGACGAGGGATTGAGATTGAGATCGAGACCGAGACCGAGACGACCGTGCCAGTCAATTCTTCCCAAAGCAGCCAAGTGTGAAGAGTGTGTTGTGCGAGGGCAGGGTGCGTGCGTGATTGCTTGCTTGCTTGCGTGGGTGAGAAAGAGGGCGGAATGTGGAGCGCGAAGCGGCAGTCGGCTGAAAGCGCGCGGACGAGCGAGCGAGCCTTGTTTTGTCGAGACAGGTGTGGCTTGGCTGGGCTGCCTGGTGCTGCTGCTGCTGCTGCCTGCATCCACCATCGGCTGCACGCTCGGATGCTCCGCCCATTCTCACGAGAAAAAAGCAGCAACCCTGTCGTGCTGAGATCGAACCCCTTTTGCTTTTGACCCTGTCCGAATTTCGATTTCATTTATCTTCCCACCACCTCGCGGGCCAAATGTACGCACTCTCTCACGGCGGAGATGCACCTCCCATCTCGGCTCGCCCGCATCTTTTCGAGACCCGCAGCGACCCTTATCGTCGCTCTGCACATCGCTCGGGCGGATCGTGTTCGGCTCTCCCTCCGCACCGTCACATCGATAGCCGCTTGCTATCCGTTCAGCATGGCGAAAGGGGTGATAAGGCGGGACGCTTGAGCGAGCAGTCTGGTGTGGTCCTGACCGAGAAGAGATGCTTCTGTCGAACATCTGGATCAGGATGCTTCGACCCATGAGCGCAACACCAGGTCGTGTGAGATGGGCGTCGTTCAGATCAAGCACCGACGAATCGCACTGAAACTGTGACCACCATCTCAGACAGCCGCGCAGCGCCGCAAAGCCTACCGAGCCGCCATACAGCCGAGCCAAATTCCAGAACCTTCGCTTTCAGGCGTGGTCGGAACCTGAATTGGCGATGGAATTTTCTCTCTCGGTCATGCCGGGGGCGTATGGTTCGAGAGCCGAGACAGCTCAGCTCGAGAAAGCCGACCGTTCGGGACGTATCCGGCCAGCTCGGAGAGGCGAGCCATATTGGCTGCATTCAACCAGGTTGCAAATCGCAGATCACACGACCCGTCCATGCTTTGACTGGTTGTTCGGACCTGAAAGCTTGCGTCGGTCAAGCGCTTCTGCTCGAGCCTCCTGACCGCATTTTTTGCGCTCACATGGTGGTGACCGGCCCCGCGGCCCGCAGATGTGCATAAGCTTCCGTCCAATTAAGCTTTGGATCGAATCTTTTCATGTGCGAAGAGCGTCAAAGCGGAAGTCACACCTACGCGCCATGAGATTGCCGCTGCGCCGTTGGATCATGTCGCCTCGGCTCAGTGCGGCATTGCACGATCCTTTTGCAACCCGAATCGGACCTCGGCTATCTCCTACAGAAGCGCATCCTGCAAACCGTCGGTCGTTCCTGTGCGTTTATTCGGCTTCCCTTGCTGGCTGCTTCGTCCGATTGGTTGCGAAGCTGTTTCTGTTGGAGCCGCATTCTAAAACCAACAGGCCGCGGGCGGATCCTCCGTCTTTCAGCGAAGGTGTCTGCGGCGCCACCTTTCCCAAGAGACGCTTCTTCAAGTTCGTCCTCGAATCACATTGCCGTAGCTTTCTCCCTGCAGGGTCGAGGCTCGGACCCCGTATGGTGAGCATGTGTGGACGTGGCGGCCTCCTGTGCAACTGAGACGGACACCGCTGTGGACAGAAGCAGTGCCTAACTGGCCTCCGCTCGGATCCAGCGGTCGATTAAGCTCAGCCTGAAGCTACACCACTGAAACCCAGGCTGAACATCGCCGGTCGAGGTAGCAGCCTCGCTCCTCATCGGTCCACCCGGTCCGATGCACCGAGAACAGATCGGCGCGATCGGCTCTCCCCCGATATCTCCGCTTTCGCAGATCCAGCATCATAACGGACTCACTTCGTGCTTGCACTGGCTATCGACACGCCACTCCCGCCATCAGCTGATTAGACTCTCCGTGCTCAGACTTCTACGTCGTAGGGCGGTTGAAATTCCCGAGGCTATTATCAGTGGGTTGCCTTGTGGAGACGGTTCGACGAACATCTGTCACGGACATCGAGCGAATGCTCGGACGCGGTCGGCACTTCCAGACACGGATAGCATCTACTTCTTCTTGCCAGACATCTTGGCGATGGCAGCCTTCTTGGCGGCCTCGTCCTCCTTCTGCTTCTTCTGGAAGGCGAGATCCTGCGCCCACCCAAAACCATGGTCAGCAACCCGACCTCCACGTCTCGAGATGATCTGGAAGACTTACGTCTTCGTCGAGCTCCTTGTTCTGCTTCTTGGGTGCCTTGAGCGGCTTGGCTTTGCCTCCCTGTCGTCCCGACATGTCGATAGAGTTGTGTAGAGGTTGCGTGATGGACGCAAGCGTGAAGGTGATGACGAGCGCCAAAAATTTGGATCATGCTCAAGGGTCCAGGGCATCTCGCCTCGGGGCCGAAAAGTCTTTCTTTTCCAATGTTACATCCCTAACCACACATCCGCCTTTCTCCGTCCAACGCAACTTCGATGCTCGACGATGTCCAAAGCTTGATGCTTCGCAGTTTGAAGCACAACCGCTACGAAACGCGATCTGGCTTCACCGCAGAGACACTCGTAAAGGAAAAAGTGTCCATGGAAATTGCATTCAAGCTGCGTCAAGCGATTGTTCATGGGAGCTATAGATACGAGTTGGGCAGCTAGTACGGCGTGTGCGCATGCTTTCCGCCCGGGGTGGTGGCGTACGAGTCGTAGGCATCGTGATCATAGTCGCGCCTGTATCCGCCCTGACCAGCATAAGGATCAGCAGGATGCGGCTCCCACACGGCCGAATCTCTGGGGTTCATTGGGATGTCCTGGTAGTTGGCCTTGCTGTCGCGGAAAGCGGCACGCTGGTTGTTGCCGTACGCCTTCTGGGCAGCAAGCATGTAGAGCTGCGTCAGACCCATGAGCACAATCAGGCCTGCCATGACACCCGTCTGTGCCCAGACAAAGATGTTGCAGATGTCCCTGCCCGCCTGCGAGAAGGCGTCGGTCTCGGCGAGTCCCGAAACCTGCAGTGTCGACGAGCTCGACGCCGAGCTCGACGGCATCACTCCGTACGTGGTGACGCAGGTGCTGACGGCTTTGTTGTGCTGCACGGCTGCAGTTACGAGGAAGGCCACAGTGGCAGCGATGATGGCAAGCGTGAGGACAGTGTTGATGCGGATGTAGGTGCGGTAGAGCGTGGGCATCTGCCGAGCTACCGAAACCAGTCCCAGGATTTGCCAGACGAGAGTAATGAAGCCAAGTGCGGCGACCAGGCCTTTCGACCACGAAGGGATCACACCCTGGCCAGCTACGATGGAGGGCGGTGCCAGTGCACAGATGCCGACCGCCAGCGCTACGAGCGCGGTCTCGAGAACCAGCAGGTACGCTCCGACATTGACAAGGGGAAGATAGCAGCAGCAGAATTCCATGCCGCTGCCTCCTCTGCGTGATCCGTGCCTCGCCATGTTGAAGATGCCTTTGCCGTCGGTGTTGGTCGTGAGCAGAAAGCTGATGTTATCAAGGATGTGCCGTTGGCTGCTCGATCGATGTGGAGAACCAGCTCCTGAGTATGCGAGTTGATATGAAGACGTCGAAGTGAAGAAGAGACCTGCTTTCGGATGGGCCCAGTGTGCGATGAACGGACGTTTAGTACGAGTCGTGATCCCGCTGAGCTGTAACGAGAGATGGTGATGGTGGACGCTCAGACACAGGGCAGCGCCGACAAAGAAAGGACGATGCTTCAATGCGGTGCCCTAGGTGCAGCTTCCTGCATGAGGCTCTGCGGCACACTGCCAGTCTGTGCTGCACTGCATTCTCCAGACGACCGCATGGCGAGCCCTCTGAGGCTACGTGAGGCGGTGCCACCCGCTAGTGCGCGCAGAACGGCGAAAAACCGCACGAAATTCCGGCACGGTCAACTCGACGAAAAAGAGGGGTGGCCGGCTCTGGTGGGTGATGTCGGCGTAGATGCGCGCCGTGCAGCTCGCCAAACTCCACTTTCGCCAATTTTCAGATCGTCCAAGACGCCGAGACACACCGGGTGCCGATACGATCACAATCGGGTCATATTGCCACTACCTTTGCCATTCGTTCCGACCGGCCGTGCATGACGGTCGGAACGAATGGCAGAGTTGGGGATTCAAATGCGAGCGCGCCAAGTGACGTTCCGACTTCCCGCCACTCGGAAACGTAGTGCCACGACGCTCATGGCAGATATGAAGCAGATGCCACCCATCACGAGTAGGGCGGGCCGGTAGGCGTTGGTGCCCGCTCGCGGCCCACCAAATGCATCCAGGAGGTAGCCTGCCAAAGGTCCACCCAAGAGCGAGCCAAAAGCACGCGAGCACATCATCATCGACTGTCTCATCGGCGGAACAGATGGTCAGCTGCTCTTCATCTATGCTTGGACATGGGCGCGTGTCTTCGAATCGACTTACCATCGTGAGTGCGGTCTGGTGCACGCCAAAGATGGCCGCATTGACCGGAGGCTGCAGCGAGAGAAGCGCGCCAGAGCTTCCTCCGTTAAGAACCATGGCGAGTGCAAGCGTGGCGAGATTGCTGGATACAGTCCACACGGCAAGGATGCTGGTGCTTGCCAGCACCAGAGCGAGCATCAGGCTTGTGACGGGCCCGACTCTCGTGTCTGCCACCATACCAAACGCCACACGCCCAACAGCCGATGCGAGACTGTAGCCCGCTACGAGCCACGCTCCCGTATTGGGGCTGAGTCCGGCCGACGTTGCATAAGTCGGCAGTAGGAATGGCGGTACGAAAAGCGGGAAAGTCCCGAGCGCTGTGGCGATGAGCAAGAGGTTGAAGCGCGAATCGAGAAAGAGCGAGGGGCGGAAAGCCTCGACGCACCTCTTGCTGCGTTCGGCGTGGTGGGGTACCAGCCACCATGTGAGAGGTAGCATGGCTGCTCCTGCGCCAAGACCGAGGATACGCACCGCCCACGCAAGGCCCACGCGGTTCGCCATGACGCGCAACAGCATCGCACAGCATGCGCCGCCGAACCCACTCGCGCTGTACACGATGCCGATCACCAGTCCGCGTTTGCTCTTGAAGTAGCCCACGGCAATTTGGCTGGTGGAGAAGAAGACCATGCCATACCCGATTCCGACCATCAGCGCGAAGACGACCATTCGAGCCATGTTGAGCTCCAACGCCTGTTCTACGCCAACTCCGGGTGCGTGCTTCGGATGCGCAGTGGGTGACCAGGAGAAGGATAGACATGCGTAGCCCACCGAGACCGAGACAGCCCCGGCGGCGCCAACGACGCGGTTTCCAAGATGCGAGACGGCCTTGGTGAACGGGATGGAGAACACGGGCATCGGGATGATGGTCAGCGACGAGATCCAGCCGAGCGTCGCTGCGTCACAAGCGCCCGCTGAGACAAGCGTCTCCTGGATGATACCGAACGAGTAGACGAGTCCCAGCGTGAAGAAGAAGTAGACAGACGCACACATCACCACGCGCCAGCCCTGCCAGCCTCCTTCGACGTCAATCTCTTCGTCATCTCCAGCCTCCAGCATCTGCATCGTCTCGAGACCGTCATGGACACTCGCAGCAGTTGTGCTAGGCGGCTTGTCGAGCTGATTGGCGAGAGGTGCTGGGGACTCGGCTGTGATAGTATCTGCGTTTGACTTTTGCGGCCGCCGCTGAGCCACCTGCTGCGGCGCAGCTACGGGATCCGTGAGGCTCGAATTGTGAGATGGGGTCATGCTGTCTTCTGTTTCGTGGTGGCCAAGTCTCCGACCCAACTTCGAAGCCCTTCGCCCTGCCAATGGCGTGCTCCAGCGTTGTATATACTCTAGAGCGGCAGCCCTGCAAGCAAATACGAGCCAGAAGACAAAGCTACCAGAGTCGCGCCAAACGTCTGACAAGTCCGTTCTAATCCGGTGTGGTCGCTGCAACCCAGCGATGATTGCGAAGCTGAGGCGTGGCGTTACCTGAAGTGTTCACTTGCGCTTCGCTGCGTAATTAAAGGATGAGCAGATACAGCGGCTTCGGCGGCAAGCGCGGCTTATATATATGTGACTCGTCGGAGCATCACAGTGCCTGAATCGCGGGGTCTTCCGATGTCACGATGGCCCCTGGCTCCGTTGGAGGTGTAACTCCTGCCAAAGTGCCGATACCCGCGTGTGGGGAAGGGTCCTCGGAACCCGCCGGCAGGGCCTTTCTGTTGCACCGGCACGGGCGGGACTTCCTGTTCTTCCCGCAGCGGAAGCGATTTTTGGCATCGGGGCCTATTACGGCCTAACATTATCCATATTGGCCCTTCCCCCGCACGGTGTTTGCTTTTACGATCGCTCCATCGCTGCGGCGACTTGACCACTCAGGCCACTGTTTCGCACCGAATCTCTTCTGACGAGAAGGCGAGAAGCAGGTGCGAGTTGCATATTCATAGTCCTCAACATCGCACCAGACGACCCATGCGTGACCATCCGGCTATGTAATTCGATGCGACCGAGACCTTTGATTTTCGGTGACTCAGGGGCCGACGATAGCGACTCCTGTATGCCCCGAAGCTCGTTCAAGGCAGCCTTCACAGATGCAAGCGGATCGTCGTGGGCAAGCGAACCAACCGCCGAAGTCATTCCGAGCCATGTGCTTCATCGGACCCACGGAGGGTCGAGAATTCGGCTGGTCGTGCCCAACTTCTCGGCTACAGGCCCGGCTCTGCTCGTTCCGGACAACCGTTGCGTGGCGACGTTGCCGAAGAAACCGAGCATCTCGCTCTGACAGACCACGGGCATGCGTCGGTGCTTTGCAGTCTTGCCATTGGCCTGGCCTTTTCTTACCCCGACCCGGAGCCGCGGATGCTGAGCAGGTCTCATGCTGCGAGCGCGGTTCTGTCACTGACACCACCTTCAACTACGGGGAAAGATCGACGGAGTCCTTTGTAAGGACTGGATGTATATGGTTGATGACACTGACACTGCATCTTGCAGGGAGTGTGTCCACGGCAAAGTCGCCGGTTTGCGGAGAAATGTTTAGAATGCAAAAGCGGTCGGAGTTGCGGCTCAAAGCGCTATGATGAAATTCGTACTCGGTGTCCAAGACATGCCAAGCTGTGCGCAATGGCAGTGCTCAGCGTTAGCCCGCCCTGAACTTCAAGGCAGTCGCCCTCGCTTGGACAGAGATCGTTTCGTGCCACCATGCGAACCATAGCCGAGCCCACTCGCCACTCCACTTCTGGACACACTCTCGCTCGGCTCGGAAACGTGGCTCCGTGCCATGATGCATTTCTTCCCGTTGCGGAGTGCTCGCCTTCACGGAAACGGGCACCTCGGCCGTGACTATGCCTGGGACCTGCGCTGGGGCTGAGGCATGAAGGTTCATGCCCACTCATACCCCGTGGATGCCCCGCACAAATGCCCCAGACCTCCGGGCCACAGAGCCTTGAATTCCTTTCCCTTGCCATCTATAAAGACCTGGCTTTGTTTGCCAAAAGCACTTGAGGTTCCCGCGAAGGACTCTTCTCATCACAGCAAGATGAAGCTTCCTATCGTTGAACCCAAGGCGATCGCCGTCGGCTTTGTGGCAGCGGCCATGGCCGCTGCTCAGCAGTCGAGCAGCGCCAGCATGTCGAGGTCTGCCTCGGCTTCCGCCACCGCTCCGTCGTCGGCGTCGTCGACAGCCCCTACATCATCTTCTGCCCCTTCCAATCCGCTCATCACGCGCACCCCGCCGGAGCAGATCGACCTTTCGCTCAACCTCACCTCTGGCCCCTATGACAACTACTTTTACCGATCGAACCTCACCGCAGCGCAGGTGCTGCTCACCAACACCTCGGCAGCCAACCCGAGCGACAACTCGACGAAGCCGACGCTCAACCGCTTCCTGGTCGCTCTACCCGCCGGCAACTCGGGCTCGGTCGCCTACTTCCTTCCCTACACCAACGGCTCCGCTGCCAACGCTACCAACTCAACTGGCTCGGGACTGACCGTGACGTTGGGCGAGAGCGGCATCAAGGGTGCGTTTGGCGACGGCGGATTGCACGGTGTCACGGGCGAGCTTGTGCTGTCTCAGTCCGCCACGCTGGGCACCACGCTGCTTGGCTCGATCCGAACGGTGCGCGACTACACCGAGGGCAATGGTCTTACCAACCAGATTTTCAACTGGACCGTCACCCAAGCCGACAACCAGACCATCTGGCTGAGCAAGCCGTGGCTCAACGAGACCATCGTGCGAAATGCCCAGGGCGAGCAGACGGGCACGGCGCGCTACTCGCTCGAGTGGCTTCTGCAGGCCACTAATGGCACTTCGTTCGAGGTGATTCCCTCGAACAACGGCACCTACACCCCTCCCACTGTTCACATCCTCACCCCGCCTGTCAACACCAACGATACCACGCGCGCGATGCCTCAGCCAGCCACGGTGACGTTCACGGTGCAGGTCAACGAGACTGCGCTCGCGCCTCTCTCGGTCGACACGCTGTTCGCCTCCAACACGTCGGCGTCCATGCAGCCGGAAGCACAGACGCAGTTCTCCTTCCTCACCTACGCCTCCAAGTTCACCGCAGGTGGCTGGAGATTCCTGACGTACTTTGGCCGTGACACCATGTTCACCACGCGCATGCTGATGAACAACAAGACGCTCACGCCGTTCGCCATCGAGTCGGTGCTCGGAGGCGTGCTCGAGCGCATCAACATCACCTCGGGCGAGGTCTGCCACGAAGAGACCATCGGAGACTACGCCACGTTCGTCAACATCGGCGAAGGTCAGCCCGAGAAGGGCAACGAGCCCTTCTATGACTACAAAATGAAGGACACCCATTATGCCCTGCTCCCTCAGCTCGCCGACTACCTCCTGCGCTACAATGCCACCTCGAGCAACCTCACTGCAAGCGACGAGGCGCGTCAGTTCCTCGCTCGACCCGCTACCCTTGCAAACGGTACGGCATACTCGGAACTTCTGTACGCCAACATCGAGTACGTGCTCAACACGTCCACGGCCTTTGCCAACGACCCTACCAACTACACCAACTTGGCTCGCATCAAGCAGGGTACCCCGGTTGGTTCGTGGCGTGATTCGAACCCAGGAATCGGCTGGGGAACGAGGAGCTTCGATGTATCGACTGCGCTGGTTCCAGCGGCGTTGTATGCCATCTCGGACCTTGCTACATCAGGATTGCTGCAAAACTTCACGTCGAAAACGGCTAATATTTCGCAGGACAACCTCGCCGAGACGGCGCGAAATTACGCGCAGGTGTGGGAGGAAGAGGCGCCCAAATTTTTCCAGTACAACGTCACGTCCGAAGATGCAGAGTCGCGTCTGCGCGGCTACGTGCAGCGTGCCAACCTCTCGGACTCCCTGCTCTACGGTCAAGGTTCGCTCAACTCGACGTCCGCAAGCAACGCGACTGGAAACAGCACGGCCGAGTCTGGCATGCAGCGTCGATGGGGCGGTGTGTCGTTCGGCCGCGAGGCTGAGTTCTCGCTCCTCTCGGCTCGACAGGCCTCGGGTACGAACGGCACCAACACGACCCAAAGCGAGGGTGGAAGTGGCAACCAGACGACCCTGTACGGTCTCTCTTTGCTCGAGGACGGCACGGTTGTACCTGTTCAGAACTCGGACCTTTCGTTCAACCTGCTCTACTCGCGACGTCCCTCGCGCACGCTGATCGAGGCGGTTATCACGGCTCTTCAGCCCTACCCCCGCGGACTCCTCACCAACGTCGGTATGCTCGTCACCAACCCGGCCTACGATCCGAACACGACCAAGACCGAGGAGCTTGACCGCACCGCGTACCACGGCACGGTATCGTGGGGATTCCAGACCAACTTTATGGCCTCGGGTCTCGACCGGGTGCTGGCATCGTGCGACAACTCGACGACGCGTACAGAGGTGGAGAAGTCCGGCCTGACCGAAAGGCCCGAGTGGTGCGATGACCAGCAGCTGGTGGACCGTCTCACCAATGCACAGGCCATGCTCTGGCAGGCCGTCAACGGCGCGTACGAGGAGCGCTTCGCCGAGGTCTGGAGCTGGACATGGAGCAACGAGACCAACCGCTTCAGCGTCACTGCCCTCGGAGACATCAGCCCCGAAGGTACCGAGAGCGACGCCATTCAGCTCTGGAGCTACGGCCTGCTCGGTATCCAGGACCCAACCATGGCTTCGAGCAACACATCTGCTACATCCGCTTAGTCTAATTCGGCTGTGTAGGACCCTCGGCATCAATCGCACTCTCTTTTCATCGAAATAGCAACACCAAGCTTCAATGCAATAGGCCATGAGCTTGATTTCAGCCTGTGCAAGAATATGCGAACGGCCAGAAGACATGGCCCGAGACAATAGAATCCCGTTGGTGGCTGTGATGGAGCGCACGGGCGAGGTGGACAATGAGCAGGAAGACGGTCGCGGCCCTCGCAGGTGGTGTGGCTGAATAGATCCAGACCGCGTTTTCCGGGACACCCAATGGTGCCTCGTGGAGAGCGGTGAGACAAGCCTGCCATGAGCTGCTGCCGGTACACCAAATGGCCGCGGTCGCTTGGCGGCCTTGCGAAGAAACGGGGTTCAGCAGGGCGGAGTTGAGGCCAAGGACGCCGACTTCTTTTGCGACACGGCGAAAGAATCAGATTTACGGAAAAATGTGTGACGTCGTGGGGAGTTCCATTTTTAGCACATTGCTGCCACGCTTCGCAACCTCCTATCCGCACTCATCGCTGAGGTCTGCCTGGGTCAGAGCTGTTTCGGTACCAGTATCCGTCCTGCTAGATGTGCCAGAGAACCAGCGACAGAGGCTATCTGCCCGTCGCAGCATGACCTCGTGTTGTCCGATTGGGCCAGTCTTATTTTTGGGACCCCGCTCGCCCGCGTTGTACGACAGGGGGCAGACGCGTGTCGATGTCCCACTGTTTTTCCCCTCCTCCCAAACGCCAGCATCCGGTATGACGCAGGCAGCTGCTTGCCCCTTCCTTGCTCGGTTCTAGTGCCCGGCATGGGTTGCAACCGAGACAGAACGCCTGCAGGTGGTTCGCTACCGGCACTTGACAGCCTGTACCTGCGCAGTCTTGGCCTGCCTTGCATCGCACACGTTTTGACGGCCCAGACTATGTCGCCAGAGCTTGGTCCAAAAGCCGCCTCGTCTAGCATTTACTCGAACGTCGAGACGGCTGTGATGCTGAAGGACCTTGTGGCTCGGATACGTCTCCCCGTCATAGGACTCTCCCGGCCGTGCACCTGCCTCGCAAATTGTGGCGATGACGACACCGAAAACATGGCAACCGGAAAACTCACCCGAGCTGCAAGCTGTTCCCTTCGCATCGTGCCTGAGTCACTTTGCCGCCTGCATCGTCCTCAACGTTCTGCCGGATACTTGCCGCCCAGATGCAAGCCACACTTGGTCTATACGGATATGCGTTTTCCGAAGACCGAAACGTTGCTATGATGCTGTGCTCCCGGCCAGCCTAGCCCCGATCCGGAAGGCGGGCGTCTATTATTGGCATCCTACAAGCTCTTCGGGCCTTCGATGTGGCTTAGCATTCATGCATCTCATGGTGTTGACCGGCGCGCCAATGTTTTGATGCCCTTCGTGTGGCTTGGCGTCAGAACACGTTGTAGATGTCAAAATTAGCACCATGCTGTGCACCGTTACAGGGATCGGTAGGATCTTACCGCGCCTTGGGATGTGTGACGTAGGCCCAGCTGCGCTGCGAAGAGACGAGCTGAATGTCTCGGGCTCAGACGCTCAGCATATCCCGTTACACCGACAACGTGTTACCTTCGAGACGTTGTTTGCCCGCTGTTGGAGAGCCTCGGCGTGAAGATACAAATACTCCCCAGTTGTCCATTGATCAACACCCCTCCTTGAACAATCTATCTTGACTATACTCGCGGAACCCAACCGCCTTGGATACTCCCCCTAGACACTACCTCTCAACGCTTCTACACCAGCTTCGAGATGTCGTCCGTCGAAGAAAGCGGTGCCCAGCAGGGCCGCCGCCTGTCCACTGACACAGCCTACTCGCGCCGATCCAGGTTCATCCCCTTCTACCATCACCGACACCACGATTACCATGGCGAGCGCCGACACCGCCGTCGCCACTTCGGCAAGCCCAAGTTCTCGGGATTCCAGCCCCACTTCATGGCTGGTCTCGGTGAATTCATCGGCACCACCATGTTTCTCTTCCTCGCCGAGGGAGGTGCCAAGACCGCTCAGCTCTCCGTCTCGGCGACGCAGACGCAGACGGCTACGCCTCTGAGTAACGAGACGATCATGTTCATCGCTACGTCGTTCGGTCTCTCGCTGCTCGTCACCGCCTGGATGTTCTACCGAATTACGGGCGGTCTCTTCAACCCTGCCATCACCGTCGCTCTTTGGCTCACCGGAGTGCTCACCTCACGCCGTGCCATCATCCTTTTCATCGCTCAAATCCTCGGCGGCATCGCTGGTGCTGGTCTCGTTCTTGGACTCACACCGTCGAACAGCGTTCAGCAGGTAACCACGACCCTGCAACCGGGCATCAACATCCCGCAGGGTTTCCTCATCGAGATGCTCCTCACCTCGATTCTAGTATTCACCGTCCTTATGATGGCTGTCGAGAAGCACCGTGCTACTTTCATGGCCCCCGTCGCCATCGGCCTTACTCTCTTTGCATGCCACCTCTTCGGCGCCGTCTGGACCGGTTGCGGTATGAACCCCGCCCGCTCCTTCGGTCCTGCGGTCGTCGCTGGCACGTTCAACAGCGATCACTGGATCTATTGGATTGCCCCGCTTTGCGGAGGAATCCTCTCGGTAATTTACTTCAGCTTCCTGAAGCTGTTGAACTACAACAGTGTCGTCTTGGACCAGGATTCGGACACCGAGATCACCGGTCTGAAGCCCATCCACGTTCGAGTGTGGAACTTCATCCGCCACGGCCAGAACCCGAGTGCGCTCAACCCTGAGAGCAGCACGCACTACGACAAGGAGGCACGCAAGCAGTTCGACAACGAGCAGCGCCAGGAGTTCGAGGAGCGCGAGGCCATGCGTCGCGAGATGCAGGACAAGCCCGTCTTCGACAGCAACGCCGGCGAGGCCGCCATGGGCAACTTCTCTCCGCCCCAGAGGAACGCCGATGTCATGTCCACCTCGACCGGCAGCACCGCTCACCACTCTGGTCAGAACCACACGGGCCCCATCCTGCCCAAGTAACCCCCTACACACTTGATTCGCTTCGTCTCTCCTCGACATCATACACGACCAAGAGGCACGCTTCTCTTCCTACCTCGATTTTTCGATTCGCATCTTATACCCTGCCTTGTGCTTGTTTTCTGATGTTGTCGTCCACCGCTTTTGCATTGCAATAGTACCTCTTTTAGCCCCTCGACGTTGTCATCGACCGCGATACTGCAATCGCACGTCTTATGGTGTCTGGTGTTCACGACGGCCGGAAAGAAAGTCCGATGCAGGAACGCGGATGGATTTCATTTCCAAGCCGCCTTTTTGCCCCCGCATATTTCGGGCCATCGGAATTTTCGGACGATTGTTCGGCGCTCGGACTTGGACCTGCATCCAGGGTCCAACTTTACTTGTGTCACATTTGGCGCGGGGGATGACTCGGTGCCACCTGCGGTACATCCTACCTCGACTCAGCGGACCTTAGCCAGCAACCACGATATACCCGCCCTAGCCTTCGCTGAAGCTTTCACGACGGCTATCTTACAAGGATGTATCTGCGACCCGAGGTCGAGGTTTCCGACTGGGGGTTTGTTGAGCAATTCCTCGCGGACCATCCGCTGGGTCTGCTCACTACCGCCATAGCTGTGCCTGGCCAGCCAACGATACAAGCCTCGCACGTACCGTTCCTCTTCAGTCCACCACCACAACATCCCACCAAGAACGCCAAATGGACGAGCACCGGTGGCACATGGTCTCGGGACGGTGGCAATGATCTTGGTGTTCTGCGGTGTCATCTTGCGCGCGCGAATCCACAAGCGAAAGCGCTTCTCTCTGCGTCATCATCGGACGAGGTCCTGGTCGTCTTTAGCGATCCCACCAACCAGGCCGGATACATCTCGCCGCAGTGGTATATCGAAACCAAACCTGCGACTGCCAAGACGGTCCCGACGTGGAATTACTCGGAGCTGCAGATCTACGGCCATGCGCGGATCGTCCCCACCGAGCAAGTCGTTGAAGATCTGAGCGATCTTCATGAACACCGTCTTGTGGAGGCCAATCCCAAGTCGCACGTGTGGAAGGTCTCGGATGCTCCTGAAGCGTATATAAAGCGACTGCATGCTGCTATCGTCGGTATCGAGATCACGATCACCAGTGTCGCGTGTAAACTCAAAATGTCGCGCGATAAGAACGACACCGACCGACAAGGCGTCGTCGACGGACTGAAAGGCGTGGGCAATGAAGCGGCAGACAAGATAGCAGACACTGTTCAACGCCTTGGTTACTTCAAAAAGTCAAGCTAGCACACACCTCATTGCGCACAGCAACAGAAAAGTCATGCTCCACCAATCTCACCGACCATTTCTCGCCAACGTAGTTAAGACTCTTTTCAATGCGCATAGATAGTGAGCGATACACAGCTGCTCTTTGGCGTGACTGTGCA